TGTGCTGGGTGGTGGCGGACTCATGCGGGCGGTGCCACTGGGACCTTCCGTGGAGCTCCCTATGGGGCCAGGAAGCGCTGTACTGGGTGGGCGAAACGCACGGAGCAAGGGCTGTGCTGGGTGGTGGCGGACGCATGCGGGCGGTGCCGCTGGGATCTTCGGTGGAGCTCCCTTTGGGGCCACGCAACGCTGTGCTGGGGGGGTGAAACGCATGGAAGAAGGAGGAGGGAGGGGAGGAGGGGGAGGAGGAGGAGAGGAGGAACGCGGGGACCGTCTCTTCAAAACGAGGACCCAACACCACAGGATGGTTGGGAAAAAAACACAGATCGTTTGATCCCGTTGCACATGTTCTCAGGGTGTTGGGGTGCCAGTTTCGAGGGGCGCATCATTCTTCCGAAGGCCTCAGCCGTCCAGAGCCGTGAGCGAAGGGATCCTTGCTACAGAGTGCGCCCCTGCTGCTGCTCCAGCTCCTCCCCTCCGCCTCCGCCTTCTCCTCTTCGTTCTCCAAGATACAGGCGCTTCGAACCAGTTGCGACGGGCAGATTCGCTCCGTGTCGGGACCCCAGATCCGCACTGAACGATCTGCCCCAACATCCCACGTCTGTCAGATGCTTACCAGCGTGGCCCCACGACGGACAACTTTATGCACTACACGTCGGCGTCTTTACTTCGACGCCGCGACGGCAAACATCCACACACCGACATCTCTATTTCGGCTCCCGTCTCTCTCTCTATATATCTCTTTCTTGTGTTTCTCGTCCGGTATCATCCATACATATGCATGTATGTGTATATACATCTGTACACCGCCATCTTACTGAAGTCAGGCGGGCGGCGTACGCCCTCGTCGAGCTCACCAGGCCCCCTGTCTCTGTATAGGCTCCTGGTGGACCCCGTGTGGACTCCTCTGCTTACGAGCGGCATCTGTGCACAGCAGCACCCACTCCGCTTTGCAAGGCCAGGGGGGGCCCCGCGGCCCCGGCCACCGCGGGGCACGGCGGGACCCGGGGCCTCCGGGCCTCCCGAGCGGCCCGCCCGCGAGCCTCCCAGGCGGCCCACGCGAGCCCTCGGGAGGCTCCAGGCGGGCTCCGAGCGGCACTCCAAGAGGCACCCCAAGCGGGTTCCAGAGGGGGCCGCTCCAAGCGGGTTCCCCGCTGGTCTCTGACGTCTCGGGGGCGGCCAAGAGGGGGGTGATGACTAGGACTAGGGGGGGGGGATATCATGGCGGGGGCCATGATATTTCCCCAGATTTCATGGCGCCTCTTCTCATGTCATTGCGTCCCTGGCCCCCCCGCTGGGCCGCGCACGTGCCGCCGGTCATGATTTGCACCCCCCCCTCTTGGACACCCCCCTCTTGGCCGCTCCCGGATCTGTCCGGCTCGAGAATCGGCTCGGCAAGATCGGGCTTGGGGCTCTGGTCGGGATCTCCTGCGATGCTGCAAAATGTCCGCCACGTGGGATCTCAGAGGAGGGGGAGGAGAAGGAGGAAGTGGCGGTGGATGGGCCGAGGCCTCCCAAGTGGGGTCCGAGCAGATGGGGTCGGCGGATTGCGTCGCATCGCCGATGCGTCGGCGATGCGGCTTGATGCGGAGCCTGACTTTCTCCACCCCAGCGTCTCAGATGCACCGCCGATGCATCTAGGAGGCGGGGGCTTTCGCTCTGACGAGCCGTGGCGATTCGGCTTCGACATCCTCCTCCTCCCCCTCCCCCTCCTCCACCTCCTCCTCCTCCTCCTTCGCAGTCCATGATTTCGACGTTGTTTGTGCTGCAGTTGCTGTTCATCCCCCTCGTATTTCTTCTAGCCTTCTGAAGCAGTGTGTACAATCGTCCTCATGCTAATCTCATCTTCGTGTTTGCACACGTCTTGGATTGGTTGCGTGTCCGACGCTTCCCTGGTCAGCGCCCGAAATCATCTAAGCATACGAAGAGCGCGCGTTTTCTAGTGAACATGGGGTCGAGAGCTCTAGCCGTGCTTTGTTTCACAACGTTGTTCGGTTTGCGACGACGAATGTCGGCTCACCTCCTCTCAAGGTCGCTATGCTTTGCGATGCTATGCTGCCCCTTTTGACGTTCTCCTTCATCATGGGCTCCGTCTTCATGGTGTTTGGCATCTTTTTCACAGCTGGCGCTACTGCTCACATGAGATTGAACGGCGAAGACGATGACCTGAATCATTATTATGGCGGTCTGTTTAAGTCGATGGCAACTCTCTACATGTCCATATCTGGCGGAATGGATTGGGAGAATGCCGCTCAACCCCTCTCGAAGCTAGCGCGCTCCTACTCAGTGGTTTTTTACGGGTACTTGACTTTTTCGATTTTCGCGATGCTGAATGTAGTCAGCGCAGTGTTTATACATTCGCTTTGCGATCTCCGCCTGCACATTCTGGATCTCGCTGGAAGAACTAAAGACGGCTCAAGCACGGGATGGCAACATGTTGGAAACAACAATACACGGTCCCGTAGCGGCGCTTTCCTTTGCCCTCTCCGCGGCCGCTCTCATACTTGTCCTAAGTTCTGATGCGCAATTTGCGATGCCGCGCCCGCCTGTTGCTGCTCGACACTTCGCGTCTCACGTCGCCGCTGACCAATAGTTTCGAACCCCTCCCTGCGCTCCCTTTTTCCCTCATACTATTGCCGATTGACCTCAGGTGCGCCTTGCGGCGGATCGATGTTTAGATCATCATCTGATCGTCGGCCCGTCGTCTGCGTGATAGGGACGCTCTCTCTCTGAACCTTTGTTTACCATCCACAGCACGACTAGAAGTAGCGAGAATATAGTCCAAACGTGCTTCAAGACGGCCCAAAGACGGCCCAAAAGGTGCCAAGAAAGGCTGAAGACAGCTCTGATATATAAACCAGCATGTGGCCACGAGGGTGTCGAGGCACCTCAGGAGGCCCTCCAGGGCCCTCCATGCAGCCTGTGCGAGAGCACCCTTGAATACATTATGTTCTTTGCTCGGATCGGTATCGATTTGGGCTTCGTTTTGGGGTCCAAGTTTGACCCAGGACCGTCAGATCATGGATCACAGAACATGTTCAAGCGGGGTTTAGGGGTCATTCAGACAAATACGGCAGACGAGCCGGATAAGTGGCTATGAGAGTCGCTTGTGTGATTTTCTGGCCAGGCGAACCGCTTCATAAGTTGTGAATTATTTGCTGTATTTTCGAAGTTTCAGACTGACTGGCGAGTTGGGCCGAAGAGGCGCTCATGGGGAGCCGAAGCAGATATTCGAGGGCAAGGGAGGGCGCGCAACAGGATCAAACGTAGCCGACATCGGCCCCGAAAATGTCCCAGGAACGATCGGGAGTTGAGGCTCGTCTTGTGCGCCGCCTTGGATTCGTCCCGTGCAAGAAATTATCCCGGCAAAGCAACCTAACAGCGATGTGTAGGAGCATATCTGGAAGCATTCCCCTTAAGATTCAGATGAGAATCCAGTTGTAGAATTCTGCTGTTCTCGCAGTCGTAGTCGCATTCGCGATGACAGTCGCAGTGGCAACGGCAGTCGCAGTCACAGCCTCAGCCTCAGCCTGCCTCAGCCTCAGCCTCAGCCTGCCTCAGCCTCAGCCTGCCTCAGCCTCAGCCTCAGCCTGCTTCAGCCTCAGCATCAGTCTGCCTTCAGCCTCGGCCTCAGCCTCAGCCTGCCTCAGCCTCAGCCTGCATCAGCCTCAGCCTCAGCCTCAGCCTGCCTCAGCATCAGCCTGCCTCAGCCTCAGCCTCAGCCTGCCTCAGCCTCAGCCTCAGCCTCAGCCTGCTTCAGCCTCAGCCTCAGTCTGCCGTCGCCTCGGCCTCAGCCTCAGCCTGCCTCAGCCTCAGCCTGCATCAGCCTCAGCCTCAGCACGAAGCGACCCAGCTAGAAGGACAAAGCGCTGAATGTACACCGATGTGTTCGACGACTGCGTATGTAATGATGTGACGATATACAGACTGAGCCCTTCGTGAATGTCTACATGTTTTTCTGACGCCTACAAACGGCGCTGACGTGTGTGAGAAAATTGTCCGCGCAGCAAAAGCCGGCGAAGCGTGCGGGAGCTCGCATGCTGAGACAGACTACGTCTGCAGACCGCCAGCTGCAAAAGGTTGCGAGCGGCTCTTGGAAGATGTTTACGGAACGGAGCTACGGTGTCTGAAAACATTGGCATCGAAGCGAAGAGCCTCGGAGCCCTGCAACCTGAGAAACACCGCAGGAACTCGCATACTGAAAAGGAATGCATTGCAAACCGCACGCTGCGAACCCTGCAGGCTGAGAAGCACCGCAGGATGTCGCATGCTGAAAAGCACTTGTACTGCAGAGCGCTAGCACTCCATCTCGGGCTCGGACCCCCCCGTCCTGATCCAGAACGTGTCCGGCCACGGCCTGAAAATGCCGTTCCAACTCCCGAGGATCAGCTGGCACTCCGGCTCTGGGACACTCCAGTACGTCTTGAGCACCTTGAGCCAGGCCCCATCTCGGGATCCCCACAGCACGCTGTACTTGACCGAGACCGTGCCGAACTCATAACAATTGACCTCCGAAGGACCTGCGAGTGCAGGCTGAGAAACACCACGCGATTGCAGGGCACGGCATTGCGTGTCACATGAGTGCAGGCTGAGAAGCACCACATCTCGTTTGCCAGAGATCACTCCCAGGTTATTTGATCCCGCAACACCAGCCACGGCGTAGCTGCCACAGGGGCCGCAGATAGCAACGGTTCGGTCACCCAATTGGCGTTCCGGTGAGTCACAATTCGCGCGTGGCTCCACGAGCCTGTGTAGCGCGATTTGCGGGGCACCAGTGTGCTGTAGGTGTTGTTGCCGTAGCAGAAGACGGCCTCTGGAGCCCAGTGCGGATTCCAGCGGACAGCGTAGACCCTGTGGACGCCATTGCGGATGACGTCGCGCGCACCTTCGATATGTGCCACCCATCGAAGCCAGTCAAATGCTGAGCCATCGGTGATGTCAACAGCACCTGGGGCAGTCTCGCCATGGTGGTAGTGCAACAGCGATTGGAGAGCGGCGCTGGCTTCGTCGCGGCCCACAATCTGGCGCGAGCAGGCTGCCTCTTGCAGGTGCTCCTGTGTGAAGAGCAGTGGGGCATCACCGCCAGTCTCGGCAGGCTGAGCAGCGCCACCGTCAGGCACGGCAGTCTGAGCAGCGCCGCCACGAGGAACATGAGGCTGAGCAGCGCCAGGCTCAGGCACGGCAGGCTGAGCAACGGCGCGTGGTGGACCGACATAGGTGGGCTCATCGGGTCGGCCGTTCTTATGGTAATGCAGGCGCATGGCTGAACCGTCTGCACGACGGAACTCGAAGAAGTGCCTGCCGTGGCCATCCGTGTTGGAGTAGTTAGGGTCGCGCTCTGTCTCGATGATGCGAAAGAGAACCTGGGCGATGCCCTGCCCGATTATGCGCTCAGCGAAACCCGGAGCGGCAGACCGAAGCAGTTGCTTCCAGTCGTAGGACGGGTCGTTTGTTACGTCTTTGAACGACAAGTTGTTGACAATGCACTCGGCGCGCAGCGCGCGCTGCCACTGGCAGGCGGTCTTGCCGCCCATCCCTGGTGTACGGCGGATGTCTTCGAGGTGAGCCTGCTCAAAGACCACGTCGACACCTGGCTGAGGAGTCGGTGCGGGCGGATCCGGCAGAATCTCCCGCGGGCCATCGCACGGGGCCGGGGGTGGCGGGGGCGATGCCTTGCCGCGTGCTGGCATTGTGACAAGGCAGGCTGAGGAGCACCGCCGAGGCTGGACGGCCAGGTGAAACTCGAGCAAACATGCGGCTACAGCTCTAAGCAAAATGGCTACGAGGAGGTTAAGGATGATGATGATGGTGTTGATAGGAAACCCGGTATCAGCGAGTTGATGTACAATGAGGTGTCCGCAAACGAGACACTGCTGTCAACGCTGTTATAACTAACCACAAACGAGACACTGCTATCAACGCTTGCACAATTAAAAAGAAACGCTGGCATTGACACTACTAGCAATACCAAAGTGGAGTTTAAACGAGGCACTGCCATCAACCGATTCAACTTCCAATAAAGAAGATCACAAATGAGTTCACTCTGAAGTGACCCATGGCTATCAATGCGAGAAGTCTCTGCAAACTATTCACTCATGGCGACCGCCGCGCACACGCGTGTAGGAAATCGTTGATGATGATAGTGGTAATGGAGTGGGGGCCAGTAATGCAGATACACTGCTGTGCATTCACTTGCTGCGAAAAGAAACTCTGTATGAATGAGTTGATATATAATGAGTTGTCCACAAACGAGACACTGCTATCAACGCTTGTATAAGTAAAAAGAAACGCTGCTATCGACACTTCCCCCAATACTAAAGTTGTCTTTAAACGAGTCACTGCCATGAACGGCTTCAACTACAGTGTAACGAAAGGAACTGCAGGCTGAGAAGCACCGCAGGCCAACGTGAACCAGTCGTGGTGATGAGGATGAGTGAAATCTGCGATGATGATAGCGATCATGAAGTCGGTTGTAGGAACCCACTTTTGTAGTAACCAACATACACTGGTATGCATTCACTTATGGTGAAAGGAAACTCGGTATCAGTGAGTTGATATAGAATGAGTTGTCCGCAAACGAGACACTGCTATCAACGCTTTTAGAACGAAGCGAACCCATCAGAACACTGTTATCAACGGAAAGAATGCTGTAGAAGGACAAAGCGCTGAATGTACACCGATGTGTTCGACGACTGCGTATGTAATGATGTGACGATATACAGACTAAGCCCTTCGTGAATGTCTACATGTTTTTCTGACGCCTACAAACGGCGCTGACGTGTGTGAGAAAATTGTCCGCGCAGCAAAAGCCGGCGAAGCGTGCGGGAGCTCGCATGCTGAGACAGACTACGTCTGCAGACCGCCAGCTGCAAAAGGTTGCGAGCGGCTCTTGGAAGATGTTTACGGAACGGAGCTACGGTGTCTGAAAACATTGGCATCGAAGCGAAGAGCCTCGGAGCCCTGCAGCCTGAGAAACACCGCAGGAACTCGCATACTGAAAAGGAATGCATTGCAAACCGCACGTTGCGAACCCTGCAGGCTGAGAAGCACCGCAGGATGTCGCATGCTGAAAAGCACTTGTACTGCAGAGCGCAAGCTGCGAAACCTGCAGGCTGAGAAGCACCGCAGGAACTCGCATGCTTTCGAACACTACTGCTCGAGACCGCAGCTGGAGAGCGGCAGACCGCAGGCTGAGAAGCACCGCGGGCAGGGAGACTTGCAAAACTCAGATGTCCTGATCGTCTTGGAGGAAGTCACGCCAGTCCGGCGGCTGCCAAGAATCGATGATGCTCCTGGAGCCACCGCCCGTGCTGCCGCCGATGTCCAGGTAGTCGCCATCGGCCCTGAACAGACGGCCGTGCCCCAACGCCAGAATCGCTTGGTTGCGGATTTGAAGCAGCGCTCCGCTCTCAAACATCTGCAACACGTCCAGCTGCCTGCGCGTGAAGTTCGGCTTTGGCTGGCCAGCCTGGGCAGACAGATGGCGGGAAAGCCGCTCCCCCTCGTTGTAGCGCGCGATGGCCTCGGCCTTCTGGTGGTGCAGCCGGCGCCGCTGTTGCCGCAGAGCTTCCTCGGGAACTGCTGCATCACGGCCCTCACTGTGATCAGCTTGCAACGCTTGCGTTAGCCAATCAACGTCGAAGCGCCCTGAGAAGGCCAGCACCTCCCAGATCTGTTTGGTACCGGCCACACGTTGCAAATGGCGATGCCACCGCTTACGCTTCTGGTCTTTCACAAACTTGGCGACGCTACCCAGACCTGCACCCTTGGCCTGGCCACCTTTTCCCGCAGGCTGAGAAGCACCGTGAGAACCTTTCTTACCGCCTGGCCCTTTGTTAGGACCCTGCGGAACCGCATGGCCCCCTTGTGGCGCAGACTTGCCTCTCGCTTTTCCCTTTTCGACATCCCGTTCCTGAAGCGCACGCTGCTGCCGCGACTGCTCGTACTGGTCGCGAGCTACTCTGACCAATTCCTGGCGCTCAGGCTCCGTGAGAACGTAGCGCATGTCGTCGATGTTCTTGCTCCGCAGAAAGTCATGTCGAAGCTTAAGGACAGAGAGAATGGCTCGGCCAGTCTCCTCCTGAGACGCAAAGGCCGTGTCATATTCCGAGCCAGGCTGAGGAGCGCCAGCTGGATCAGTGTCCGCTGGCTCCGTGGACTTCCTCTTTTTGAAAAGCAAGAGACTGAGATGATGGAGGACTTTCGGATCGTACTCCTCGTCGTACCTGTCGTCCCAAAGCTGCCTCAGCTCCCTGTGCAAGTCGTTCGCGCGATTCTGAACGACATCCTCGACGTAGTCGGGATCACCCGGTGAAGTCGGTGAAAGCGGAGGAGTAGAACTCGGCGACCGATCCCAATGCACAGAAGACTCGGCGTCCGCCTGTACGCTGACGTCGGCGTCGGAGACGTTTTCGACGACAATCTTCCGCCTCTTGCTCTCCCCAGGCTGAATAGCACCAGGGAGAGTGAGCACAACCGCCACCGCATCGTGTGCGTCGTTGCGCATGCCACGATCCGTAAAAGACGCGCCAACGGCAATGGAGCAGAAACGGGCGACTGCTCCGCAGACCGCGACGTGGTCGCCTTTGAGGTCGGCCGGAGTGGCATGGACCTCCCAGAGCTTCTCGTCGTTCTGCTGGCGCTGGTAAGCCTCCCGCGCCTCCTGGAAAGTGAGGTTGTCGTCGCCGACTACAAGCAGAACGACTGCCTGGCTCAGATTCTCAAGAATCTTTCCCAGGCAGTCCAGGTGCAAGCGGAGATTGCGAACTGTCCGCTTTCGAGTCTGGATGGTCGGCGGTTTCTTGCCGCACACGATGTGCATGTTGGCGATCACCACGTGGAACTTGTCATGGCCTGGTTTGTTCACCTCAAAATGTGAAATAACAGCATCAATCTCTCGGCCGCTAGGAGGCCTGTAAACTTTGCTGTCTTCGCACAGAGTCAGTTCCGCAGGCTGAGAAGCACCGCGGAACCCCCAGAGAGTCAAGTAGTTGTCGACCTCCGAGAAGCGAATGCCATCACCGAAAGGCTTACTGAGGATCTCTGTCACGTTGATCCCTGCTCGGCGAAAGCCTTCACGGAACGCACCGACCTCGCAGCCACAGACAATATCAGCATCAGCGGTCTCCACTATCGTGGCGCACACCCTTCCGAAGTTAGCGCAGTGAGTGGCCGCCTGCTTACCAGTCATCATGCCCTGCTCGAACCCGAAATTGAACGAGGCGACCGTGAAAGACGCAGGCTGCACAGCGCCAGAGCCAGGCGTCTGTCCACCTTCCTCCGCAGGCTGAGAAGCACCGCGAGGCGGCGCAGGCTGAGAAGCACCGCGAGGCGGCGACACTTCGGACGAGCCTCGCGGAGCAGAGGCTGCGGATGAACGTTGGGTATGGGGGTACGGCCAGGGGAACGCCATTGCAATCGAAACTGAGTGGACTGCAGTGAGTGAATGCAGTGGCACGATTGAATGCAGTGGACTGCAGTGTCACTAGCAATTCCTGAACCAAACACGGCTGTGGCGGAAGGACTACGAAGCGTCTGGCTATTCAAAATGTGGCCCGGGAATGTAGTTCTGGGAACTCGAAGACCAGGAAGTGGCCTACAGTTGGCTCCGGGCATCCAAAATGTGGCCCGGGAATGGAATTCTGGGAACTCGAAGAGCACGAAGTGTGTGACTGTTGCATCCGGCCCTCCAGAATGTGGCCCGGGAATGGCGTTCTGGGATGTCGAAGAGCACGAAGTGTGTGACTGTTGCATCTGGTTATTCTAAATGTGGCCCGGGAATGGCGTTCTGGGATCTCGAAGAGCACGAAGTGTGTGACTGTTGCATCTGGTTATTCTAAATGTGGCCCGGGAATGGCGTTCTGGGATCTCGAAGAACACGAAGTGTGTGACTGTTGCATCCGGGTATTCAGAATGTGGCCTGGGAATGGAGTTCTGGGAAGTCGAAGAGCACGAAGTGTGTGACTGTTGGTGAAAAACGAGCCCGGCACCCTGCCGCCCGGCAACTCCCCAACACCTGCCCGGACCCCCCTGTGGAGTGATCTGTGAGCTCTTTTGAGTCAACTAGAAACCTATCAGTCTTCGCTGTTAGGTAAAAAGGGGGAGTGCCCGCAACGGAGCTCTCGAAGCTCGGTTCCACGCGTCCTTCTGCCCGGCGCGCGGGCGGGCTCCTGGAGGCGCGGCGCCGTCCCACCGGCCCCCAGCATTTGGGGCCAGCCTGGTGCCGTTCTCGGGGCTTCTCGGGCCCTTCTGGGCGCCCTTGGGGGGGGGGTCTCGAGCCCGCCTTGGAGAGTCTTGGAGCCGTGTGGAGACGTCTAGGGGCCGCCTTGGAGCAACGTTGTGCCGTGTCGGAGGTCTCGGAGCCGTACTGTGGCCGTCTTGGAGGCCAATTGGGGGCCTGTGGGGCCATCTTTGTGGCAATCAGAAAGCCTTTTAGGGCTTTGGGGGCCTCCTGGGGGCTCCTGGACGCTCTTGGATGTGTCTGTAGCTCGTCATGGGATCACTGTGGCCCGAAAGGGTAGGAATTTCACAGACATGCAAATTCAGATGACTGCCGATGATGCTGCCTTCTGCTGGGTCATCTTGCGGTCACTGGCGCCCATCGAGTTTCCCCCTCTGGGCAATTCCTGACAATTCTCGGCGCAAGATTGGGCCTCCCTGAGCCAGGCTTTAGCAGCATTGGGCAATTTGGGAGAGGCCCTGCAGTATGGCCCAGAGGCCTTTCCTGGGGGCACCGCGGGGCCCGGGGTGCGCGTTGGTGCGCTCGAGGCAAGCACCCTGGCCCCCTTCCCACAATTTTGGCTTTGGGCAGCCCAGGCATGATCGCGTCGGAAGCAACAATCAGGACGGGAGGTTTTGGACTATTTTCGGCTTCGGGGGGCCCTCGCTGGGCCTCGGGACCTTCAAAACGATTCAGGATGAAAAACCGGTCCCGGGGAAAGGGTCGGGACTTCCAGGGACCCCGTATTGAACAAATCATGACGTCGCATGCCTGGGATCCGTACATTTCACACGCTTTTGCACACTTGGCAAGCGAGGGTTCGGCGGATTGACAACACGATCCAGAGGTCCAAGAATGACCGTGACTTCGTCGTGCAGACGGAGATGGAGGGCAAGCGCGATTTTCTGAATAGCATGGACAAGGTGTTCGACGAGCTCGACCCCGACCGCTCTGGCACGATCCGTCTTTTCGAGCTTCAGAACCACATCATGGACCCCCAGGTGAACGCATACTTCCGCGCGATTGATCTAAACGTTTTCAAGGTGGCGAAGCTGTTCCAGCTCATGGACAAGGACGGTTCGGGCGACATCGACAAGAAGGAGTTCACACAGGGTTGCGCACGGTTGCGTGGTGACGCGAAAGAGCTCGATGTGGCCATTCTCCAGTTAGAGATGAGGCAGCTGGCGGGCATGTCGGCCAGCATCAGAGATTTGGTGGTCCAGTTGGGCGAACACCTCGACGACAAGTTCGACCCACAGTTCGCTAGCATGCCACCCTGCCTGCAGTCGCCCTAACAGTGTTCCCCGAACAGTGCTTGGATTGACAAAATATGATTATGTTCGTGATTGTTCCCAACCATCCTGTGGTGTTGGGTCCTTGTTCTGAAGAGACAGCGTCCCGCGTTACTCACTCCTCCTCGCCCCCCGCCTCCACCGCCCGCATGCGTCACCCACGCCCATTTCGGCACACCCCTCACACACTTCGTGGCCCCATAGGGAGCTCCACCGAAGGCCCCAATGCCACCGCCCGCATGCGTCACCCACGCAAATTTCGTCACACCTCTCACACGTCTCGTGGCCCCATCGGGAGCTCCACCGAAGGCCCCAGCGCCACCGCCCGCATGCGTCACCCACACCCATTTCGGCACACCGCTCCGACGTTTCGTTGCCCCATAGGGAGCTCCAACAAAGACCCCAATGCTACCGCCCGCATGCGTCACCCACGCAAATTTCCATTGCGTCGGCCAGGGGTGTCTGAAAAGTGGATTGACACGAAAAGCCCGAAAAGCCAGAAAAGCATGAAAAGCAAGAAAAGCAAGAAAAGTTCGAAAAGCCCGAAAAGCCCGAAATGCCCGAGTTGCGAGGATGTCTCGCGCGGCGGCGCCAGTGTTGCGAGGATGTCTCGAGCGGCGGGCTTTTCTGGCTTTTCGGGCTTTTCAAGCTTTTCGGGCTACGCCGGCCAGAGTTGCGAGGATGTCTCGAGCGGCGGCGCTAGAGTTGCGAGGATGTCTCGAGCGGTGGGCTTTTCGAGCTTTTCTGGCTTTTCTGGTTTTTCGGGCTACGACGGCCAGAGTTGCGAGGATGTCTCGAGGTGCATCGCCAGAGTTGCGAGGATGTCTCGAGCGGTGGGCTTTTCGGATTTTGCTGGCTTTTCTGGCTTTTCGGGTTACGCTGGCCAGAGTTGCGAGGATGTTTCAAGCGGTGGGCTTTTCGGGCTTTTCGGGCTTTTTGGGTTTTTCAAGCTTTTCGGGCTACGCTGGCCAGAGTTGCGAGGATGTCTCGAGCGGTGGGCTTTTCTGACTTTTCGCGCTTTTCGGGCTTTTTGGGATTTTCTGGTTTTTCGGGTTACGCTGGCCAGAGTTGCGAGGATGTCTCGAGCGGTGAGCTTTTCTCGCTTTGCGGTTTTTTTTTGGCTTTTCTGGCTTTTCGGGCTACGCTGGCTAGAGTTGCGAGTATGTTTCGAGCGGTGGGCTTTTCGGGCTTTTTGGGCTTTTCTGTTTTTTCTGGCTTTTCGGGCTTTTCGGGCTTTTCTGGGTTTTCGGGCTTTTCGGGCTTTTCGGGTCAATTGGATTAGCTAGAAAAAACAAGAAAAGCGACAGCCCGAGTTGCGAGGGTCTTTCTCGCGACGGCGCACGAGTTGCAAGGATGTCTCCAGCGGCAGGTTTTTCATGCCTTGTTGGCTTTTCGTGTCTTGCGGGTCAGCCGGGCGCTCATTTGGGTTTTCGGGCTACTCGAGCCCTCGTCGTCGTCGTCGTCGTCGTCGTCGTCCGCTGGCGGCCCCCGAAAGTGCAGCCTATTCAACCCCGCGCCCCTCCCATCCGCTCCCCCACGAGTGGACAAGTTTGGACTGGAAGCGGGAGCCCCTGCTAGGAAAGGTCATCACATTTCTGTCCCGACGCTTCCCTTCTCCCGCTTGCACTGTTGGTAGGGATCAGCACTCCGGCGAGTGCTGATCCCTACCAAAACGGGGTGTTGGGTGAGTGCATAGGCCTCTGTGGGCCTACAACGAGTGGACAATTCTGGATTGGAAGCGGGCGCCCCTGCTTGGAAAGGTAATCATATTTATGTCCCCACGCTTCCCTCCTCCCGCTTGCAATGTTGGTAGGGATGAGCGCTTTGGCGAGTGCTGATCTCTACCAAAACGGCGTGTTGCGTGAGTGCATAGGCCTCTGCGGGCCTACAACAAGTGGACAATTCTGGATTGGAAGCGGGCACCCCTGCTTGGAAAGGTCATCACATTGCATTGTTGTTCCGACGCTTCTCTCCTCCCCCTCGCCGTTCTGATAGGGATCAGCACTCCGGCGAGTGCTCTGCCCGACCCGACCGTTCGTCAGGGTTCGCCCGCCCGACCCGATCGCCCGTTAGAGTTACACGTGTGTGTTATTTCGAGCACTCGTCTTGCTTATGTCCCGCCCGCTCGATCAGAGTCGCCCGTTAGGATCCACCCGTCCGACCCGACTGGCCCATTACAGTTACGCGTGCGTGTTCCTTCGAGCACGCGTCATACTTGAATGTCTGGCCCGCCCGGCTCGCCCGTCCGTCAGGTTCCGCATCCGATCCAACCCGCCCGTCAGGATTATACGTTCGTGTTCCTCGAGCATGCATGATACTTGAATGTCCCGCCCGCGTCGGCTCGCCCGACCCGACCCGCCCGTTAGTGTTACGCGTGCGTCTTTTTAAGCATGCGTCATATTTTAAAGTCCCGGCCGCCCGATCCGACCTTCCCGATAGGGTTTGCTCGCCCGAACCGATTCGCCCGTTAGCGTTACGCGTGCCCCTCCCATCCGCTTCCCCACGAGTGGACAAGTTTGGATTGGAAGCGGGAGCCCCTGCTAGGAAAGGTCATCACATTTATGTCCCGACGCTTGCCTTCTCCCGCTTGCAATGTTGGTAGGGATGAGCACTTCGGCGAGTGCTGACCCCTACCAAAACGGCGTGTTGCGTGAATGCATAGGCCTCTGCGGGCCTACAACGGGTGGACAATTCTGGATTGGAAGCGGGCGCCCCTGCTTGGAAAAGTCATCACATTGCATTGTTGTTCCGACGCTTCTCTCCTCCCCCTTGCCGTTCTGATAGGGATCAGCACTCCGGCGAGTGCTCTGCCCGACCCGACCGTTCGTCAGGGTTCGCCCGCCCGACCCGATCGCCCGTTAGCGTTACACGTGTGTGTTATTTCGAGCACTCGTCTTGCTTATGTCCCGCCCGCTCGACCAGAGTCGCCCATTAGGATCCACCCGTCCGACCCGACTGGCCCATTACAGTTACGCGTGCGTGTTCCTTCGAGCACGCGTCATACTTGAATGTCTGGCCCGCCCGGCTCGCCCGTCCGTCAGGGTCCGCATCCGATCCAACCCGCCCGTCAGGATTATACGTTCGTGTTCCTCGAGCATGCATCATATTTGAATGTCCCGCCCGCGTCGGCTCGCCCGACCCGACCCGCCCGTTAGTGTTACGCGTGCGTCTTTTTAAGCATGCGTCATACTTTAATGTCCCGGCCGCCCGATCCGACCTTCCCGATAGGGTTTGCTCGCCCGAACCGATTCGCCCGTTAGCGTTACGCGTGCCCCTCCCATCCGCTTCCCCACGAGTGGACAAGTTTGGATTGGAAGCGGGAGCCCCTGCTAGGAAAGGTCATCACATTTATGTCCCGACGCTTGCCTTCTCCCGCTTGCAATGTTGGTAGGGATGAGCACTTCGGCGAGTGCTGACCCCTACCAAAACGGCGTGTTGCGTGAATGCATAGGCCTCTGCGGGCCTACAACGGGTGGACAATTCTGGATTGGAAGCGGGCGCCCCTGCTTGGAAAAGTCATCACATTGTTGTTCCGACGCTTCTCTCCTCCCCCTCGCCGTTCTGATAGGGATCAGCACTCCGGCGAGTGCTCTGCCCGACCCGACCGTTCGTCAGGGTTCGCCCGCCCGACCCGATCGCTTGTTAGAGTTACACGTGTGTGTTATTTCGAGCACTCGTCTTGCTTATGTCCCGCCCGCTCGACCAGAGTCGCCCGTTAGGATCCACCCATCCGACCCGACTGGCCCATTACAGTTACGCGTGCGTGTTCCTTCGAGCACGCGTCATACTTGAATGTCTGGCCCGCCCGGCTCGCCCGTCCGTTAGGGTCCGCATCCGATCCAACCCGCCCGTCAGGATTATACGTTCGTGTTCCTCGAGCATGCATGATACTTGAATGTCCCGCCCGCGTCGGCTCGCCCGACCCGACCCGCCCGTTAGTGTTACGCGTGCGTCTTTTTAAGCATGCGTCATACTTTAATGTCCCACCCGCCCGATCCGACCTTCCCGATAGGGTTTGCTCGCCCGAACCAATTCGCCCGTTAGCGTTACGCGTGCCCCTCCCATCCGCTTCCCCACGAGTGGACAAGTTTGGATTGGAAGCGGGAGCCCCTGCTAGGAAAGGTCATCACATTTATGTCCCGACGCTTGCCTTCTCCCGCTTGCAATGTTGGTAGGGATGAGCACTTCGGCGAGTGCTGACCCCTACCAAAACGGCGTGTTGCGTGAATGCATAGGCCTCTGCGGGCCTACAACGGGTGGACAATTCTGGATTGGAAGCGGGCGCCCCTGCTTGGAAAAGTCATCACATTGTTGTTCCGACGCTTCTCTCCTCCCCCTTGCCGCTCTGATAGGGATCAGCACTCCGGCGAGTGCTCCGCCCGACCCGACCGTTCGTCAGGGTTCGCCCGCCCGACCCGATCTAGAGTTACACGCGTGTGTTATTTCGAGCACTCGTCTTGCTGATGTCCCGCCCGCGACCAGAGTCGCCCGTTAGGATCCATCCGTCCGACCCGACTAGCCCATTACAGTTACGCGTGCGTGTTCCTTCGAGCACGCGTCATACTTGAATGTCCGGCGCGCCCAGCTCGCCCGTCCGTTAGGGTCCGCATCCGATCCAACCCGCCCGTCAGGATTATACGTTCGTGTTTCTCGAGCATGCATCATATTTGAATGTCCCGCCCGCGTCGGCTCGCCCGACCCGACCCGCCCGTTAGTGTTACGCGTGCGTTTTTGTAAACATGCGTCATACTTTAATGTCCCACCCGCCCGACCCGACCTTCCCGATAGGGTTTGCTCGCCCGAACCGATTCGCCCGTTAGCGTTACGCGTGCGTATTATTCCGAGCACGCGTTATAATTTAATTATCCGCCCGCCTGGCCCGACCCGCCCGTGAGGGTCCGCTCGCCCGACCCCCGACCCGACCAGCCCGTCAGGGTTACGCGTGCGTGTTTTTTGTTGAACATGCGTTGCGTCACAATTGAAATTTCCGCCCGCCCGACCCGACCCGCCCGATTAGGTCCGCCCGCCCGACCCGTTCTGCCCGTTAAGGTTACGCGTGCGTGTTACCTAGAACACGCGTAATACTTTAATGTTCCGCCCGCCCGGCTCGCCCGTGAAGGCCCACATCCGATCCGACTCGCCCGTTGCG